CATGTGTTCGATTTTTGTATAATATTTTTTTGGTTGATCTACTTATATAAGAAATGATCTACATTCACCCTACCCTTTAATAATAAAAAATAAATTTTTAAATATCTAAAGCTACAATTTTTAGATATCTAAAGTTGCAACTTTAAATATTTAAAGTTGTAATTTTAAATATCTATAGTTGCAACTTTAAATATTTAAAGTTGCAATTTTAGATATCTAAAGTTACAACATTAATTGATAATCTGTATGTGAACCAGTGAAGTTTATTATTAAAATTTGAAGAACATTTTGTAGATCACTTATAAAAAAAATCACGAGTACCAAACTTTACACTAAAGGTCAATAGGCAAAATTAATATTGAACCTGTATTAAAAATTAGTGTAACCGAATTGTCAAAGCCACGAGAACCAGATTTTAATAAATTTTTTTTACGAATTTCGATCGTTAAAAACTTTTTATTAGGGAAATGCCAGATTCTGACCTTCCAAAAAGCTATAATTCACTAGTACTAGTATGACAATATATCAAGTTTTTACTATTTATTGAAAAATACTATTTTGACTAACGAGTGCAATTTTTGTTTATGCTGTGTCACATATCGTCCTATCCAGTTTTGAATCATTGACACCTTCGGAACATTACTTTCTTCTAAGTTACTCGTTTTTACCAGCTCAAGTAATTCAGTATGCATCTCTTCTGCGGTATAACGATCATTTTTGTTAATGTTACCCACTAAGAAATATCCTTCCAGATAAGTTATAACATGTTTACTGATTCTTTTACCTCTGCCTCTTTTTCCAAATTTTTGGTTTTCTTTTAAAGCCCAGCCTAATGCAAGTGTAAATTCACTGTATATATTTTTATTTGATGGTAGGGTCAAATTGTGATTTTTTTAAATGTATGTGGATATTTATAACTGCAAATGAATTTAGTTTTACCTTTCTTCGTTTGAATTCAATGCTTCAGCAGATAATTCTGTAATTACATTGTAATTAGTTGAATTTTAGTATTACCGTAGACCACTGTATACAATACCCGGGGTCTTATTCAAGAACTCCGTTTTTAAAATTGAATAGTACCTATGGGTACTGTGTGAAGAACCGGGTACTATATTTGGGGATATATCATAGTAAAAGTAGTAAATCAACATAGTTATAC